ATTACACGCACCTATTGGTGGCCAGGAATCAGCCGAGACGTCCGCAAATACGTAGAAGGATGTCAAAAATGCCAAGTCACAAAGTCACATCATACAAAGCCGGCTGCACCCCTCCATCCTATAGACGTACCAAGCGAACCATGAGAGAAAGTCGGGACGGACATGATCGGCGAGTTGCCGGAGTTGGGAGGATACAATGCGATCAGCACATTTGTGGATCATTTCACAAAGCGGTTACATATTATACCAACACACACCACCCTGACGTCGGAAGGCATGGCTCGTATTTACCGCGATCACATCTTTCCCATACATGGATTGCCGCAACAGATGATACATGATCAAGGGCCGCAATATCACTCACGCTTCATGAAGGAGTTGTACCGGTTGCTGGGCATTGAAGGAAACTTCACAACGGCATATCATCCACAGGCGAATGGGCAAACGGAACGGTTGAACCAAGAGATAGAACATTTCTTACAGATATTCGTCAATTACCACCAGAACAACTGGCATGAATGGTTACCCTCTGCCGAATTTGTTTACAATGATCGGGTACACTCGGCAACCAAGGTTACTCCGTTCTTTGCAGACATGGGCAGACATCCCTACAAAGGCACCGCTCTGAAAACGGCATCGAGAAACGAGACTGCGCAGGAGTTTGCCAACGGCATGAGGAAAACATGGGACGAAGTGGGGTCAGCATTGAAGATGGCAAAGGAGGATATGAAACGGTTTTATGACAGGAAGCGGACAGACGCAGTAGAATACAAGGCGGGCGACAAAGTATGGCTGGAAGGGACGAATCTCAGCACGGACCGACCAATGAAGAAGCTCGATGACAAACGCTTCGGGCCGTTCAAAGTGATCAAGAAAGTCGGGACGAGCTCTTACAAGCTCCAGATTCCTCACACGTGAAAAAGCATCCATCCCGTGTTCAATGAGGCCCTATTGACGCCTTACCACAAGCCGCAATTTCCAACGCAACCCCAAGACACGCGTCCACCACCTGTGCTGGAAGGAGCCGAACCGGAATGGGAGGTTGAGAAAGTGGTTAATTCCCGAAAGTACCGCGGGGGTTTTCAATACAAGGTTCACTGGAAGGTAGAGATGGACACGAGTCCATACTCGAGTATATTCGGACTCATCGTATGAGTAACTCTTACCTCAAACCCAATACTCAAGACTCGAGTCTTCACTCGAGACTCTACTCGAATATCTACTCTACTCGAGAGTACTTCATGAGTCTCGAGTATTCGAGTACTCGAGTACGATCCGAGTATACTCGAGTATACTCACGTATCAGCAAGCAAATTCAAACATAAAGAGTGAAGATTAAAGTAAGTAGGTCGTAAGTGTATCAAGTTATATCCATATCAGTAGCATCCATATCAGTAGTATCCTGAGGTGAAGAAGCAGGCTTGCGCCGTGCTCACGGGGTTCATTTTGTTCAAAAAATATATATTAGGAGCTGAATACTCACGAATACTCACGAATATAAGAATACTCATGAGTATTCACGAATATTTATGAGTATGAGTCTATCGAGTATTCGTGGCCCCAAACTGAAACTCTAGACTCACCATAGACTCTAGACTCTACTCTACTCACGTGCGAGTATACTCTTGGCTTGCATGATGAGTATGAGTTTATTCGTGAGTACTTTTTTTATTCTATACTCGCGTCCGACTCTACTGGAAGGGTTATGGCACACACAAGCAGACATGGGAACCGGCATGCAACCTCAAAAATGCCAACGAAGCCATCAGCGATTTCCACCAACAATATCCGAACAAGCCGAAGCCATCCGCACTTGCTCGCATTGAAGTCCCCATGTCGCAATTTCCATCACATCTATTCCGACCCATGCCACCGCCTGATACCGAACCCCTTGACATCACGTTACCCTCTGCAGCCCTCATGGAGCGACTCTGGCGCAGAATGGAACTTGCGCCTTAAGGAGGGGGTGATGTTATGAATCGCCATATTTTCACATTTTCACATCTTATCATATCTTATCGGGGGCTTGTCTTATCAACCAACGGACCGTTTCATCATTGTTTTGTCACCGATCGTACTCCTTTTCATTACCGAAGCCGTACTCATGTCGGACACACACCCAACACATGGATGACATCATACATGCTGATACCTCATGGACTTCCTATTGTATACACACCACCAACACTCGTAGCACACATGGTCGTTTTAGTATTATTAATTACATGCAGTTACCACTCGTATTTAATGGTTTCATGGACTAGTAGCATACAACACTGGGTCAAGGGCGTGGAGTTATCCCTAACGGAAACATGTATGGACAAGGAGTCCCAAACACAGGCTTACTAGTATATAAGCAGTAGTATAGTATCATTGTACTTTAGTTCCGATCTCGTTTATACACCTGGCCTAGCCTAGTCTTACGAACGCGAACACTTTCTCTTTCAGTTCTTGCTGTGGTACCTGGTTGAGTCTTGTGGCTTAGTCAGTCGCTAACATTATCCCTAGCGGAAACATGTATGGACAAGGAGTCCCAAACACAGACTTACTAGTATATAAGCAGTAGTGTAGTATCATTGTACTTTAGTTCCGATCTCGTTTATACACCTGGCCTAGCCTAGTTCTACAAACGTGAACGCTTCCTTCCCTTGAGTCTCTCTGTGGTACCTGGTTTAGTCTTGTGGCTATAGTCAGTCGCTAACAGTCTGCACAAATGCGAATGGATTGAGATAGGTTCTGTCAATGGGCGTCGAGGTTTTCGTTAACCATAGCACCGAGACAAACATTCAGGGCACTGTGAGTGTTATTGAGCGCTTCTCGGAGGTCTACAACAATAGCCCACTTGCCAAGCGTCATGAACTCCAGTTGCTGTTTTGTGTGTGGATCAGCAAACTGCGAGGGACCTACGGTGATCATGCGAACAACGTAAAGAAGGGTAACAGGATCTTTAAGGAGATGAATGACAGCAAGAGAGACCTTCTACTTGGTGTAGTTCAGCTTCAGCTGCTCCCATCAGAGGTCCTGCTCCAGCTGCTTTGGAAGAGCAAAGAGGGCCTGGTGGAAAAGGCGGGTGGACTGAATGCCTGGGAGGTGTTGTCCGAGGCCGAGAGATCTGCCAGCGAGGCTTGTGTCCTTGATGATGTTGCCCGAGAGCTTGGAGCGCAGCAGTATGCCGCAATGTCACCAGAGGAGCAGAAGATGCGCTTTGGTCCTTAGATCATGGGTGGCTGCTATATGCACAAGAACCTCAACTCCACAAAAGGTGGAATGAAGCGAGTACAGACCTTTTGGGGTGGCCGTGACGATGGACGATGCCGAACAAGGATAACACTGCACTCCTTGACATTGTTGAGACAGTGGTTGACACTAGTTCAGCAGCAACCAATGCTGCTACACAAGCCAGGGAGATGTCAAATGCCGGATCTGTCCACACCGCTATGCTTGGTGGTTTGATCTGTAACCACAAATATAACAAGAAGGGTCAACAGGACAATTTTACCTGGTATTTCGAGACGCACCTAGGGAAGCGTGTCGCATATCTGGATATGAGCAATACGTGCTACCAGTCTCACTGTGAAGTGGCCCAAGTCATCTTGCAATACCGGGATACCTTCATCAACTTTATGGAGTACGTACACAACTCCAAAGACTCCCAGACCTTTACCATCCTCGAACTCAACTTCTACCGGTGCTTGACTGATCCTGGAACACTCACCGAGTTTTGCATCCTGGCATGCAAGTCCCAGGCCTTTGGACGGCCCTACATGCATCATGTTTGTGCACACAAGATGTCAATCTGTTGGATCTGGGAGATATCCATCAGAAGATGCTCACTCACTATGGCACACTCCGTGATAACCTGGACCTTCTCATTGGGCCAAATGCGACAGCTAGCACTGGGACCTTTGACAAATCCGAGTTTGACCACCCCGAGGTGATGCAGGTGGTGAAGGACTTGATCCCCACATTGTCCGCCTTCCATGGTGCCTTTGAAGCGTATCTGGAAGGCGCTCTTGAGACCATGACACGATTCTCCTCTGAGTTTGTGAAGGGTGGCGTTGTTGATCAGTTGACGCCAGAGGAGCGGAAGAAGTACTTTATGCATGCCACCAACGATCTAAATGAGGTTGGTTAGGTTGTAAACGGGTCTAAAAATACTACCGACCATGCATCACCGAGGAACAGTCCAACACAAGATACATGTATCAGGATAACCAAACAGAGGTGTGGGCCGAACAGAATCTCAGAGAAGATGACCACGTTTACGTCCGTCGAGAGGCCAGGTCGCGGCGGAAGAATGCAGGGGCACGGGAAAAAGAGATGAAAATGGTGCATGTCACTGCAAAGAAGGCAGGCATCGAGAAGACCAAGAAGAAGAAACAGAAAACGGCGGGAGACAAGAAGCGCCGTGAGGACGCAGTCCTTGAGGCACGATATGTGGGCTCGGAGAGCGAAGTCAACAAGTTGAACCTCAAGGAGATCCAGGTCCAACTTGATATTCATCGCATTTGCGGCAAGGACACATCAATACCGATGAAGAAGAACTCAGAACCGACCGGAGGCGGTGCCAGCACTGCTGAATGCAATACATTGTTGGAACGGTACTGGAGACCCTAGACCAGCAAGGGTGGCTACATTGCTCGCAACAGAAAGGGATGAGACGGCTCAGACATCGGGTGAGGGCAACAATAAGATGTATTACTCAGATACAGATGGGGAAGATTGAGATCTATAGTCATGATGTTATATAAACTACTTTCTAGATACATTACATACATACATACATACCATTATAATGTCACGACACAATGCGTGAATCCATGAGGAATGGCTCGGGACACATCGAACGAGTTGGTGGTTGGCGCGCAAGAAGTTGTTTCAACGATCAGGTGGCTGTGTGCTTAATAAGCCGCCGCACTCGATCCGACGAAAGACCTACCCACTAGACGCGCCCTGCGCCACATCACGTGCCAGCAGTAAAAATTGAGCTATCATAAGATAGGCACTACCAGGGGTCGAACCTGGGTTATGGGAATTCATGTTCACGTTTGTCAGAATCCCATGTGCTGCCACTACACTATAGCGCCACGGGAGAAAGGTGCACAGCGGGAAACACAGCCAACATGCGAAGAAACAAACCTTGAATGTTTGAACCTCGAAGAGCCGAAAAAGCCGAGGTGAAGCATCCATGCATGCGAAAGAGATGTTACGAGCGCGTATGATGAACGCAGAACGGGTATTGGTACTGGAGAGAATGCGCGTGACGGCACTCGTATTCTTTCTGCACCTCGTGGCGCGTAGCAAGAGCCGAGGAAACGTCGAACAACTAAGGGACATGCAAATGCAAGCAAGGAACTACAACAGTTGGGCATGAAGCTGGTTCGTGTTGTCTCAGACGAAACTAGAGTGAAAACGCGCTGTCGATGAGGTGGTACATAATGTGTAGGACGCGAGGAACTCAGTGACAAAAATTGTGCGTGATTATTCAGGACGCGTCCAGTTGCAATGGCGGTAGCGATGTTGGGAGGAATGATACCGTTGATATATTACTTTCCTGTAGAAATGATACTGAGGGTAGCAAGTACGCCAATCTAGAAGAGAGCAAGTCGGATCAGGGATGCGCAGCTCCTTCCTTCCCCATTTGTTCGTGGGCAACAGTGCAAGTTCGAGCTGTGTGGAGTGCAATGATGGCTCCTAAACTTCTTTGCTTCCGCGACGACGACCCCGACCTCGGCAATGTCCTTTTCGACGTCAAGACACGGCCACCAGCGAACGCGCTCTCGGCTGACCATAGGCATCCCACACTACACCAACTCGGTGGTCGACGAGAAATTCCATCTCGGGGGGTCCCAACCTCGGCCGTGGTTCAATCCAATATCTATACCTCTTCCAGGCGCGCATAAGCGGGCTTTGCGACTCTGGATACCGAATCACCGACGGCTGCCGCCGAGCCTGGCGCGAAAACGCGGGGTCATAGCATTGCTAGCAGCCTTTGCGATCGTCTTATACACGATATTTGCTGTCACCGTTCGTTTTGGCTCCGCACAGAAAAAATGGCCCGCATCGCCATGGCCTACACCGTCCTCGCGCGCGACAGTGGTATACCATGATGATGACCTGCGTCGAATATGGCAGTGGGAGGTGATGAGTGGCCATTACCCAAGTCGGCGGAAACGTACGCTCCTGTCGATATTGCATTGCCTATCACTGACGCGCCGTAGTGCCCCAGGAATTAAATATTACGACTCCACCGATGAATCCTGCCTTGCCTCCACGAAAGACTTCTAGAGACGATGCCAACGGGACGACCATTGGCGTCGGTTCTAAACGCATATACCTAGATTTACAGAGTCAGCCACCGGATGTCGCGTACCCGCCGCGACCAGTCCCAGGCGCTATAGCCGACCTAGATGTCATACTCAAATACTGCGATTTCGCTGAAAACAAGGTGTGCAACAACACTAAACTCACTCTATCTAAACTCACCACCTATTCTAGTACGTCCGAGATTGCCTTGACGTTTTACGCACTGGTGCCGGTCTCGACAATGGAAACCGCATTCGCAGAGGCAACTTGGACGACTGGCAATACATCTATTTCGAAAAGGAGGCGCCGAAGCTTGTCCTACAAGACGCGCTCCAGTTTACAGCACTCCCTGCTACCGGCAAGTGGGAAAAGCTATCTTTACCACCTCTCCAAACATACCGCCCATATCCATTGCTGGACTCTCCTTGCGACCCCGAAAACCCCAAGATATTCCACATATTCTGGGGCGGCCCCATCACCGACAAGCCTTATACAATCCTCATGTCGTTTCTTTACACGCAGAACACGGGTCTTCATCTTAAATCCTACCCTGATAATGCTCCATGTCGTCCGCAATTTTGGGTATGGATTAATCCAGCACCTGCCGCGACCGAACCTCCTCCGAATGCTCTACACGATATGTTCATCGAGCTAAAGGAGAATCCCTGGGCGGCTCCTTTCCTCCATCCCCGTTTCAAAGACGTCATCAAGTTCAAGCTTTGGAATACCACTGAGATGCTCGACGGTATTCCCGAGCTCAAGGACGAATGGCGCTCCATGGAGAGTCTATTCAAATCTGGTGCACACGTCTTGCATGTCTCCGAACCGGAACTGAAGAAAGTAACTGTGGACGCTGACGCGACTACAACGACAACGACCACTAAGGCACCCCCGACGGAAGGCGCGTATAATCGACTGTCGACAGTTTTGTCAGATATGGCGCGATTCATTTTGTGTCATCGCTTTGGCGGCATTTACCTCGACGCGGACACCGTCCTGCTGCGCGACTGGGAGGAGTTGTTCAATTGGAGGGGCGCTTTCGCGTACCGGTGGTCGTGGCATGAAAAGTATAATACTGCGGTCCTACACATGAGCAAGGGCTCTGCCTTGGGAACGTTCCTCTTCCGCACAGCGCTTAACAACGGACTGGACTTTCACCCCATGACTGTGTCGGTGTATACGGAGCAGGCGTATATGCAAGGTCTGCTTCTTCGGTTGCCCGACGCGCTTTTCGATCCGGCGTGGTTGAACACTGAGGATTATCAGAGGGAGCGGCCGCCTCAGCCTTTTTTCACAAAGTTGGGCTTTGCTTTCACTTCTGCGGGGGCTCGTGATCGTTGACAGACATTACTACTTCTTTTAGCTTTGCAGACTTTTTCGACACGCCGGTTTCGCAAGGCGCCGCGCCGCAGGCTCTTGGGTTCGACGGGTTCTTCAGCGGTGCTTATTCATATCACTACCACAGTCCTTGGTAAGTATCACCGTTTTGCGCATTCACGTTGACGTTGTGCTTATCCCGAGGGCACTGTAGGGTGAAACCATTCGACGTCTCGCGAAACTATCCAGACCTGGGGGAGCGGTTCGTCAAGGGCGAAGAGGCGCTCAAGGCGGCTTCGGGTAAGACCGAGGCTGAGCAAGAGGAAGACGCGAGGGATCAGCGGGATTTGGACTGGTCGACGGTCGTGAAGAGGACGTTTGAGGCGTATGTGCGCGGGGAGAGGCCGAATATGTATGGAGAGTGGATACAGTGGTGAAGGTATGATTATTTGGTTACACTTCAGCTATGGGACACGACATGCTAGATCTACATACATACTTGTTTGATAATTGATTTTGACCAGCTCAGTTCGCATCTGAATACTAAGGATTTAGCGTAGACGATTTCATTCAGAGAAGATGATGGACTCGCGCTGAACTTATGTAAAGGGTAACCTCCGAGTCTTGTCGATGCTTCGGCGTTGTGACTTCCCCCGTACTTGCAGCGACACAAAACGAATATCATGCGATACTGAAATTATGGAAAGACTTTCAAGTAAGACGGCCAGTGGGCTTTTTCATACTAGCTTCACACTTCTCCAGCTTGCGCTTCTGGCTCTTCTCAGCCTGCGCCAGCACCTCCTCCGAGTAGGAAACTTCATTCACATCCTGCTCGAAAGCTTCCCCTTCAACCAGTCCTTCAAACGAGCGCGCCGCCGCCGGCCTCGCGAATACTGACAGACGTCTCCGTTTTACAATGACAGGCATGACTCGCGCGGGAATGATAGGCCGGCACATCCATGGTCAGCGTCTGAATTGGCGCAGAGAGCTGTAGCCGATGATCCCACCTCCTTGCTGCGCCCTGTAAAGTATGGAATTAGATGGTGTATATAATATATGGTTTACATACCTGATAACGCGAACGGCCCCACTGCCGTTGTTTTGGACGGTGGATGCGGACGAAGCCTGGACGAGCGATCAAGCTGGCTGTTATTGTTGAAGCGGTGAAAGATAATATAGGAAGCCTCTAGAGGGTACGTATCGGAGGAGGGCGCAAAGGAACTAAGACCTGAGTTCCGGTGAGCAACATGGAGCGATTGTTGACGATTTGGATACGGTTAAAAGCGGTCTGAGCTGGAAAAAAGACCATCTTAGCATTCTGCTTCTTCATAAACAAAAAGGAGCCGCTTACACTGGCGACTGAGGCTGCCATTGTTGGAGGTCGAATGTGATAGGACGCGGCGGGTGGTGTAATTGCAGAGCTCGTAGGTCGACAAAAGGAATGCAGGCGATGGAGGACGCACTCTACGGGTACAGTGAGCGGATAGAAAGGAACGCACAAACGTTCTCGAAAGGAAAACGGCTAAGGAGCAAGGAGTGTATGGCCAGAATATATAGTCGTAGGACGAAGCAATCTATCCTGTGAATGTGTGTGCCGGCTGAACTTGTTTCATGGAGACAGCCAACGTCGATTTCGCTGAAACAGCAGCCTTCTTGTAAAAAGATTGTCTTGACACGTAGCAACAGAACGCCTTGACAGCGCGCTAGATCTGCATATCCTTGACGCATGTGGCTATTTGTCGTTCTTCGATTTTGTGTAGACACGGTAGAGGAAGCGTTTCTTCTCCTGCGTGGACATCGGCGTCCAAGCAGCTGGGAAGACGAACGTCGGTATACATTGCTCCTTTGAATTGTTTCCATCACGTTCCAGGAAGACAACAGAAGGCGCATAACAGAGAGATCGAGGCATTGACGGAAGGAAACAGCTTCAGAAGAAAACTGGATACCGACGATCGGCTTCTCAGCGGCGTTGGACTACTACATAGTTTGTCGACGTCCTCTACGGAGAAAAATGGAAAATGACAGATTACAAGATGGAAAACCATTCAAGAAGAAGCACAAGAGGAAGATCGAGGCCTAAACAATTTCGACCTTTGGAACCGAATTGGGACACGCAGAGCGACAGATAATGTGTTCCACGTTCAGAGACGCTACTGATATGCATAAGCCGCTCTACATCACCCTTGAACTTCGCTTGTCGATATAAACCAGTCATCATTCCCAATATCCTCCGAACAGTGGTCAAGCTGTAAAGCATATCAATGAGAGGTTACAGTGTTCAGACCAATAACGTACCCAGTACGTTAGCATGCCTGCAATGACATCGGGCATAGGCGGTTCAATATCCAAGGCAAACTTTAGCGTAAACCGGATAGCGACGGACGTTCGATAGGAGGCACCGATACCATCCTCGTTAACGGAAAGAATGATAAAAATCCACTCGACGCCATTGGTCAATGCACCC